ATTCCCTTGACATATAAAGAATTATAGCAATAGCTCTTCGACACTCATACAGTGTCGCCTTATCCTATGGATCTAATAAAGCCCCCTTACCCGAAATGGTATGACGAGAGCGCTCACTGCGAATACCATGGCGGTGTGCAGGGGCATTCGATTGAAAGTTATCTCGCATTCAAGAGACTTGTGCAACGAATGCGTAACAAGAATTGGATCACTTTCAACTCCGGAGCACCAAATGTCGCCCATAATCCCTTGCCCAATCATCAGGAGACAGGAATCAATGCCGTTACTACCGAAGGGGGCAGGAAAATTAAATCGAGTGTTTCGGAGATCAAACCTCCTTTGGCTTGGGTATGGAGCCAAATAGTGAAGGCAGGGCTTCTTGCACCATGTCCAGATACGACAGAAAATGAAGATGGTAACCATTGTTGTTACCACAACAAAGAAGGGCATAAAGTGCAAGATTGCCCAGAGTTCAGATCGTTAGTTCAGCTCATGATGGACCAGAAAGAGGTGGAGTTTCATGAAGAAATTCAAGAGTCCTTGGAAGCAGATGTTTGTGCCATCGCAGAATCATCAGACAGAAGATTTGGTAGGGGTAGTCCTCTGATAATTACCCCTAAGGCAAGCATGACAGTAATAACACCAGCTAAGGTGGTAATCTCAGCACCGCGGCCTTTTCAATATAAGGACAATCGGCAAGTGCCATGGAAGTACGAATGTCAGGTGAGTACTTCCAGAGGATGTAATAGCAAAGTGGGGCAAAGACCACTTGATCCATTCAAAGAAGATGTACTAGTTGTCAATGAACCTATAAAGGAGGAAGAAGCTAAAGAGTTCCTCAAGATCTTGAAGCATAGCGAGTACAACATTGTAGAACAACTCCACAACTTACCTACACGTACTTCAATGCTAGCACTATTTTTAAGCTTGGAAGCACACCGAGAAGCGCTGTTGAATGTCCTTAATCAAACGTTCGTGCCACAAGACATACCAGTCAGCAAGATGGATCGACTGGTGAATAATATTCAAGCTGATAATCTCATCTCATTTTCAGATGATGAGATTCCATCCGAAGGAAGAGGCCGAATAAAGGCGTTACACATTACTACCTACTGTAAGGGGCACGCTTTACCAAGTGTCTTAATCGATAATGGTTCGGCCTTGAACGTGATGCCTTTGGTTACGTCGAAGAGGCTACCAATAGATACCTCTCATATGAGAGCTTGTCAGAATGTGGTCCGAGCATTTGATGGGACCAAAAGAGAGGTAATCGGAAAGATCGAGGTACCATTGACCATCGGACCAGCCACCTATGATGTTGAGTTCCTTGTGATGGATATCATGCCGTCCTATAGCTGTCTTTTGGGAAGGCCATGGATTCATCAAGCCGGAGCAGTACCCTCCACGTTGCACCAAAAAGTTAAATTTGTTATTGACGGTGCCTTAGTAATTATCAACGCTGAGGAATATATCGTGGCAAGCGTGACCACGGAGGCTCCATACATCGAAGTAGACAAGGAAGCTATAGAATGTTCGTTCCGCTCCTTGGAATTTGTGAATGCCACATTTGTGGCAGAAGGAAAGAGGATCCCAAGACCACGACTCTCCAAATGCACAAGGATGGAGATCAAGCAAACCCTGGGCCGAGGCGCCAGAACCGAGAGAGGTTTTGGGAAATATTTGCAAGGAAGGATCAATCTTGTCCTTCCTATCTCAAAATTAGACCAATTTGGGCTCGGTTTTCAGCCCAGTTATCATGAAAAGAGAAAGGAGATCCAAAAGAACCGGGAGAGAAGATTGGCCAGATTGACTGGAAACAAACTCCAATGGAAGCCTATGGCATTCCCACCTCTTTTCAGAATATTCAAGTCAGGTGGTTATGTGTTTGAGACCACCATGTCCCAGTTAGAAGCGGCTCTGGAAGATCTGAACATCAATGCCGTGACCACAGAAGATGTTGACAACGAAGATAGATCCGGAATATGCCCTCTGCCACCTGGTTTCGTGTCTAGCAGTTGGTCGATGGAAGAACTACATGTGGTTTACAAGAGTCTTTCAGAGTAATATTCGAACTATCCCTATTTACCTATACCCGGGGCAATAGGTGATCTTTTGTAAGGGTGAATAAACATTTTTTTAAGTTTAATAAAAGATGCATTTTTCTTTTTCCATGACAAACAAACTTTTCTTTTATTTTTGAATTCGTTATCTATCTCCTTCATTCCAGTACTTCATCTCCAGTAACTCACGAAGTTAATCCTTGACTGTTCCGTGTGGGATATTATCCTCTCACACATGCACATTTTTCTCCTTTCAGGTTCCCAGATAACGATAATGTAGGCACTAATGATCCTGATCCGGATGTGGATTTTGAATCAACCATTTGTCTTGGGGAATTTGATGAATGCGATAACGGAAAGGAATGCAACTTGCCTACCGAATTATTGAGAATGATAGAAAGATAAGAAAAACAAATACTGCCACATGAGGAGGCGATCGAAATCCTAAATTTGGGCACTGAGGAAGATCGAAAGGAGGTTAAAATCGGTACAACTCTTTCGACTGAAGCAAGACAAAACCTGATAGTCTTACTTCAGGAGTACATAGATGTGTTCGCTTGGTCGTATCAAGACATGCCAGGACTAGACACAGATATGGTAGTTCACAAACTGCCAATCAAACCAGAATTCAAACCTGTGCAGCAAAAACTAAGAAGAATGCGACCAGAAATGCTCCTTAAGATCAAGGAAGAAGTCAAGAAGCAATTTGATGCCGGTTTTCTTCAAGTAGCCAAATACCCGGAGTGGGTGGCCAACATAGTGCCTGTGCCGAAGAAGGACGGTAAAGTACGCATGTGTGTTGATTACCGGGACCTTAACAAGGCAAGTCCCAAGGACAACTTTCCTTTGCCACACATAGACACTCTGGTGGACAATACAGCCGGGAACGCCTACTTTTCATTCATGGACGGATTTTCGGGGTACAATCAGATCAAGATGCATCCTGAAGATATGGAGAAGACCACTTTCGTCACAATGTGGGGAACTTTCTGTTACAAAGTGATGCCTTTCGGATTAAAGAATGCTAGGGCAACATATCAGAGAGCTATGGTGACCCTGTTCCACGACATGATGCATAAAGAAATCGAGGTTTATGTCGACGACATGATTGTCAAGGCACAGACTGAGAATGAACATGTCGAGAATTTGAGAAAGCTCTTCCAGAGATTGAGAAAATTTCAGTTACGGCTGAACCCTAGCAAGTGCACCTTCGGGGTGACATCTGGGAAGCTATTAGGCTTTGTAGTCAGCAGAAAAGGCATTGAGGTTGATCCTGATAAAGTCAAGGCTATCCAGAGTCTACCTCTACCACAAATACAAAAGGAGGTCCGAGGTTTTATAGGAAGATTGAATTACATAGCTCGGTTTATAACTCAGTTAACCGACAAGTGTGATCCAATCTTTCGCCTTCTTCGAAAAAACAGCCCTGGGGCATGGGATGAAAACTGTCAGATTGCATTCGAGAAGGTAAAAGAGTACTTATCTCACACATTATTTAATATACTATATTTTTTTTCTTTTTCTTTATTTATTTATTTATTTATACTATAGTATATTATATTTTATATATATATATATATATATATTACTTATATATTTTTTTCGTTCTTTATATATTTTATTCTATTGCATATATTTTTCTTATGTAAATTTTTAATATATGTTTGTACTTTTTTTATTTTTATCTATTTATTGGTTTATATTCTTATTCTATTTTTCTTTCTTTATTTTCTTTTTCCTTTTGTATTTTCTTTATATTTATTCATACTTCTGTGTATACCTTGTTATTTTCTTTATTCTGTCTCTTTGCCTCATATTCTTCCTAGTACTTTTATCTTCCATGTCTTCATTCTTTTTTTTTATTATTGGTATATATATATTAACTATTTTTATTTTCTATTTTTCCTCATTTTATTTTACCACTTTTATTACCTAACTCGTTTCTTGACTTTTTAAGGGGATTTCTAAACCAATCTAAGGTAAGTGATTTGGATCGATATTTTTTACCTTTTAATCTAAAACTATAATTTTCTTAATTAAGACAATTGGAAATTACATAGTACCGAAAGGGCGGTTCAAGGGTGTTAATCCTTCCTTGACCGTAACCGACTCCCGAATCCGACATATCACTGGTGAGACGCAGATCAGGTAAGAAATAAGGTATCCAATTAACCTATTTATTTTTAAATAAATAATTGGTGGCGACTCCAATCCACATTTTTCAAGTCGAAGCCCAATTCCGGAGCCCAACCGAAAGACGGTTGCGACACATTTGAGGCACTTAAAATGATAATGTTGGTAACGTTAGACACCTACATTAACCCAAAAAAAGTTTATGCACATAAACGAGAAAACATGTATAATTTAGATACTTATTTTTATATTAAACCCATAAAAAATATACTAAAGTATTTTTTGTCATCTATATCTCCAGTATAATCACTATTAATAAAAATCAAATAAATCTAGTTTTTCTCCCTTTCTGAAGAATAAACCAAATTCTTTTGTATCTTGTAGGTAACGTAAGATCCTCTTGATAGTAAAAAGATGTACTTCTGTAGGATTTTTCATGTATATGCTAATTAGACTCACATAATACATGATATCTAGCCTTGCTGCCGTTAAATACATCATACTTTCCACGATTAAAAAACTTGTATTCTCGTATTAATAGAAGTTTATGTGTGTTAGAAATCATTCTAAAAATCATTAAAAGTTATTTTTTATAATTGTTATATTAGGTTGTGCGCGAATTTGAAAAAGTTCACGTCCGTGATACTCATAATGACCATAATAGCAGTTGTTACGTCCGCAACCGTGATAAACACAATGTGATCGAAAACGCGATCGCGACCGTAATTTGAATCCTGACTCATCCTAAGCCAAACGTCAACAGAACTATGCATTCAATTTCGGTGAAGAACCAACTTTAAGTAACATTCAATTTTATCAAAACAAGGGGAAAAACTATACTTCCCATGCTCACATGGCTATATATGGCTAATAATTACAAATAAGAAGAGAAGTTAACGCTTTGTGATATCATCTTTCTTGATAGTGAAATCCCAGAGATCTCCATATTTCTCATTAAAACCCCAAATGCTCATGGTGTTGTAGTCATTGATTAGCTTAGCACGAGCTCCCCTTTCCATGTTATATATCTGAGGCTCAAAGTGGTGAGGCTTATCTGGTTTATCCATCTCTATTATGCAGAATATAATCGTAAACACTCCACCTCCAATGAACAAGTACTCCCCCTACACCATCAATAAATTCATCAAACAATAGAACATTTTGTAATAATCTTGTCTACTAAATGAATTTTACCGGAGCATTGAAGAACATTCCAGCTGCAACTGCGGGGAGGAAAAGCCATGAAAGAAGTCCTGCAAGGAGTTGAAAACAATCAATTACAAAATTAATGTATGAAAAGAGTAACAAAGAATGAAGAGATTTAGCTTGGAAGCCTGTGGTTGGTTCAATAGCTTGAATATCATCAGCAATGGCTCCCCAAAATGTTCCTGCAACTAAAACCTTCAATACCAGTGTTTAAACAGAAACAACATCAAAATTCCGCTCTTTCTAAGTTACCTTTCTCCTCCTCTCCTTCAAAGTAAGTATGGTGCCCATCATACTCTCCATACTTAAAATCTTCCTATAAAACACATGCATCGAAATCAACCAACACATTTACATAACCAACACAAATACGGCTTTGTCCTTGAAGCTTTTTTTATATATATAAGATGAAATGAACTGACAGACAGGGTCTTCATTAAGATCAGGTTCAATCTCGGACAACCCTGCAGCTCTCAATCTTGTGAAGCTGATTCGTTTTCTAATCGGCTTGAAATCAACAAAACTTGCCTCTCTCTCTCTCTCTCTTGGATTCAAGCTTCCTAAAGCAGAGTTTAGGCACCCAATTTACTGAGGCGACTGAGAGTGGTGCATGAATTGCCATTTCTGTTCTCTCTCTCTCTCTCTCTCTCTCTCTATTGTCTCGTTTTTTACGGATTGAGCTTTGGAAGCCTTCTCCATCGTTCGTTTAAGCTATATGCTCGTTATCCATTTTCTAGGACTTTTAAACAAGGCCAATAATATGTTAGGGTTAAAGTACATAAGAGGTCACCTAACTATATTCAAATCATCATTTTGGTTACTAAATGTTTTACTATTATAAATTTATCAAATCGTTACAAAATGGTCACTATAACATTATAATAAAGGTAAAAGCTTGATAAAATTTGATGATGATTTTTAACAAATAAAAAAAATTAATAATAATTTTGTAACAGTTTAATAAATTTATTTTTTAAATTTTTAAAATTTTAAAATAAAAAAAACTTTTAAGCATAGATAGTTCAACAATAATATATTTTACCCGTGAGACATCAAATGTGATTGATAAAGGTTTATAGTACATAACAAAGAACCCTTGATAATAGGTACTCATTTAGTTTTACATATATGTTTAGGACAGTTGATTATATGGGGGGTTTTGCAGATGTTTCATCCATTGACATGTCAGGCATTGAAACATTCATTGAGCTGGGTAGAGTATTGATAAGGAAGAGTATAAGGTAAAAACTTAAAATATACAGTGTTGTTTATTATTTTTAGAAGAACATACAAGTTGGATTAATGGTTAAACTTCAACTTTTATTTTTATAGGTTTAGAGTTTGAATATCCTAGAATTAATATTAAAACAAATTTTATTGAGTAAAATGGCATCGTCTTGAGTCTTTTAGGTATCAAAACAGCTTTACCAATACGATGATGTTTTGGTGAGGTAACCACACCAATAATTGTTATCTCTGTCAAGGCGTACAATTATCATGTCATCATCTCGGTAAATCATTAACAAATGAATGATATATTGAATATAAAATTAAATATTAATGTTAAAATCAACAAAATTAAAAATTCGATGATATAAATGAATCAACTCTCAAAGTTTGATGTATAAATATTTTTCCTAATAAAATTATGAATATAAAATAAAAATTAATTAGGAGAATGCATTCATAAAAAGATGTATTATAAAAGACATTTAGTGCTGTAATTTTCTCGGGGGGAAAAAACAATAATCCTAAAATGCAGCCAAATCAAAAGTGGAGAACAATCATCAACAAATCAAAGTTGAAGTATCACATCATTCCTTTATACCATTAATACTAATGTTTATAACACAATTCATCTATTTTTAAGGTTTAGGTAACTAAATATAAAATTATCTATATGAAAACGATTTTTAAAATATAACATTATTTAATATATTTAAAAATGTATTTAGTAAAATACAACATTATTACTAATATATTGGAATTTAAAAATGGGAATAAAATTCCTAAAATAATCACTACCCTAATAATAAAAAGGCATTTAAACCTTCGAAGGGCAATTTAGATTTTCCAATAAGGTAGTTTGCAACATTGTGAAGTGCTCAATTTAAGGATCCTTAATCTCCGTCCAATTAACAATTCTTGTGAAATGAAAATATTTATATCCATCAAAGAGGTAAGAGGATAACTAAATTTCACTGAAACCATAATTAAAACTATTCTTGAACTAGCGCCAATTACGTAATACTACAAAAAGTTACTTGATACATCTCTCCCCCACACCAATTTGCTTTCATGGATGCCAGAACCCGAGTTTACCTCATCCCTGCAAATACAAGAGATAATATGTTACAAAATTACATGTACAAAGAATCAGCGAATGAATCCACAACATGAGATAATATGTTACAACACGTTTAGTATATAAACTCTCACTTTTGTTCCGTTTTAGTACCAAATTTAAAAAAAAAAAAATATACCTAACGTTTAATTTAGGTTTCAATTTGGTACCCTGCCATTAAAAACTTAACGGCACCGATGACGTGGAATTTACATTACAAGACACATGGAATATCAAAAAAGGGGAAATAATTCCACACCATCGCTGCCGCTAAGTTTTTAACGGCAGAGTACCAAATTGAAACCTAAACTAAATGTTAGGAATGGTCTTGAGAAAAATAAAATTTAGGGTACTAAAAAAGAATAAAAGTGATAGTTTAGGTACTAAAATGGAACAAAAAAAGATAGTTTAGATGCTAAACGTGTAATTTACCCAAAAAAATAGTCTTAAATACTGGTGCGTCTTGGCTAATATTCAACTTTGTATTCGATAATTAGGAGACTTGATACTAAAAGCATTTAGCTAACAGAAGGTACAAACTGCAAAGAAAAAGGAATAATATGCCGAAACAATAAAGTCAAGGGAGGGAATTGCAAATAATTCATGTTATCTCAAGGGCCCTTTCCATTTTCTGAGATATGGCAATCCCATGTAGCATGCATTTTTAGTAAAAGTACAAGACTAGGATACCAGATAGGAGCTTACAAGCCCTCAAGAAGAATGGAACACAGGACAGGCACAAACAATGATAAAAACCAATTTCCCACCATATAAAATGTAGAAAAGTAACAATAGTAAAGAAAAAGTACAATTAGATCCAAGTCACGGTCACCAAACCTGTTGCTTTCTCTTTTTTGGTCTCCTCTTCCTACGTGGTTTGCGAGCATCAGAATTTGAACTTAAATTACTACTGTTTCCTGTCTTTGAATTTGAGGACCCCCCTGCCTTAAAGGAAGAACCACTTCTTCTGTTTGATGTGTTGCTAGATGTGGACATTTCAGCTCTCTGCATGGATGAATTTCGGCTGGATGAAGATCCAAACCTTGATTTTGCACGTACCAAATTTGAAAATGAATTAGGCCTTGGAGGTGGCATTAAAGCTCTGGCAGAAACCTGTCTCTGTTACAAGTTGAAGGGGTGGAAACATCAAAACAGTTAAATTAATTATTTTCTTAAAATGAAACTGTACAATTCTATACTGAACCTGGTTCCTTTCATCACTAGACATGCCAGATGCTGCTTTCCCGGAAGCGCTAGAAGCCTGTTCTCTGCATATAAATGTTTGAGTGCACTTTTCATCACAACAAGAGTGGGATAAAGATTTGTGGCCTGTTCAACTAAAACAACATTGCCGTATATCCAAACAGTACATCTGATAATGACAGAGTCGATAGTGATAATGGTTCCACGTTCAAGTGAAAAAAAAGGTTCTTAATGGCAGCATCAGTCTACTTGCATCTCTAACTTATAATGCTTCATAAGAGCAAAGTTCAATTGAGCAGTTCAACTCACATGTCTAATACGTACCGGGTACTTTTATCTGTCCATTCATCGTCTGCGTCAACTTCATCGCTTGAAGATCCTTTTAAGAAGAAATCATCACTCAAATCCAACAGCCCATCATCCTCACTCCCTGTCTCTGTTAATCAAAGTCCAACCAGAACATATCATTCTTTTGAACACAGCAATACAAGTTAACAAGAACAATTAGTAGGTAAAGTAAAAAGTAATAAGAGAGAACATGTTACATCAATAACATGTGAGTTCCAGTGCAATTCACAATTAGACCTTCATTCTAAAAAGCTTAATTACACTATACCATGAAATAAAGGTAAATATGTTACTTCATATAGATTATATCGCCAGCTACAGTGAAGAGAAAATGCACCTTCCATATCTTTCCCGCTGGCAGCAGCAGCAACTACGTTGGCTTTTATCTGCGTCCGCAATCTATTTCTCCTATCAACCACTTCTGAATCATCACATCCCATAAATAAAGATACGTATTTCTCGGTCTTGGGGAAAAACTGCATTTGCAAATAGAAAAACAAAACTTCAGCTTTGCATAGTTTAGGAAAGACATACTGAACTCAAGTTCAAATAGTCAGTTAAACAACATTGTCCTATCATTAACATTTCAAAAACAAATTCTGCTACAAAGCTTACCCTAACATATTCAAGATCCTCTTTCAATTTTGATAGCTGGTTAGCAATCTCTGTGTCTTGTGTCTGACCAGATGAAGTTCGTTGCAGCTTCTCCAAACGCCGAATCCTCCTTTCTATCTTTCTTCTCTCTTCAATGGCAATTGAGATATTAGCAAATTAATGATTCATTCCCTATATGAACTAAATACAACAGTGTAAGAAAAGATCATAGTAATTCTTTGTTTTTTTTTTACCAAAAAACTTAATCTTTCTGTTCCTCAAGAAGATTTTTCGTTCCACGGCTAGTCGAGTATGGATTTCTTGTTGTCTCTTAAGCCCTTCTAACTTATTTTCTTGAGCCTCTCTAACTTCAGGAGGAAGATCCTTATATTACATATGCGAAAAGGAGCAAAATTGCAATTCAGAGAATTTATAATACATACGAAGACCCTAAAATTAAAATTTAATTCAAAAGGAGGAAAAGGAAAAACTGAGATGAAGAATACCTTCCGCAGCATGCGTTCAATGGAGCGTATCTGGTTCTTGAGAGAAACGGCTTTTGGCTTCGATTTCTTGTCTACGCCAGGTCCCTTTGATCGCCGAATGACGCGCTTCCCTTCCACCACGCGCCGCTTACCATAGCCACCGTGGGCCATGTCGTTTCTAACCTTTTTGCCCACTTTTTTTTGTTACTGATCTTGCTCCTTTAGAGATATTCTTTAACCTTCTTCTTTCGTTTTCTGCTTGCCTTCGCAGGTCCCATGAACCAAATACACGGTGTTTGATTCAACGATTGTGGGATCTTACATTCTCATATTTGGTTGATTGAAAATTTCATTATCAGAAATATTTTATTATTAATAGTAGATTTTTTAGTATATTAACATGAATATCATTACCTCTCTTTCTTTAGGTATTGTAATATTACCGACGTTTTGGACTAAAATTTCCTTAAATTTTTATTTTTTTTCAAAAATATCATTATTCTATCATTGAATAATAAAAATTCTACGAAGATTAAATTATAAATTTATCCTTAAATTATTTTAGATTTACAAAAAAAATTTATAATTAAAATTTTATATGAAGTTAGGGATTAATTTTTTTTACCCTTTATAATAAGGACAATTTGGTCAAATATACATTCCAATAATCTTTTATTCCTTTAACCAAACATGGTAATCTTACATTCCTGCTAAACCAACCAAACATTAAATACAACATTCTCAGTAATCTTATTCCCTGGTAATCTTTTATTCCCACTTGTAATCTTACATTCCGTGAACCAAACACACCCTTAACCCTTTTCTATTAATATTACTTTTTATTTGTTTAATCATGATACCATAAATATTCATTAAAACAACATATCTATTTTATCAATACATCTATATTATATATTTCTATATACATGTTTTAATAGTATAATGCTAAATATAATCATTTAACAATTATTTGAAAATCACTTTAATTTATATTTTTTTATTGAATAATCAAATCTAACTTTAACTTCATTAAAAAAATAAGTAAAAGGGTACGCGAAGCCCCTGTACTTAAAAAAAATCAATGTGATCATTATATTATTTTTCTCTCAATGTAGCTCTCTAACTCAAAAAAAAAAATTAATACGACCTTTTAACCAACGTTTTCCGTCATTGACCGATATTAGTATAAGTATTTCGCTATTAGGATGCTCTAAGTCAACCATAAGTTTCTGTAAAATCTATCCACATGGTTTTTTCATTCCTCTTCAACAACTGTCTATGCAACCGAAAATTGATTATATCTCATTTCTACCAACAACCACAAACAATATTTTCTTCATACTAGATTTGAGGAAGCATTCACGTCTACATGAATTAACGGAACAGTTGGTTAATGACGAAAAACCTTAGTCAAAGAGTCACATTAATTTTTTTTAAGTTATAGGGTCACATTGAAAAAAATATATAGTACGATGATCACATTAATTTTTTTTTAAAGTATAAGAGTTTCACATACCTTTCACCAAAAATATAATATGTTCGTAAATTGATCTAAGATGTAACTAATTACGTGAAAAAAAGATTGTGCATGTTTCCTTTTTCCTCTTGCTGCACGATAATAGGACTAATGGATCCCAGTTTTCTGCACCATCTTCATTGTTTCTTCGATTTTATTTTTAAAAAATATTTTTCAAACCTTAATTATCTTCAACCCCAGGGGCGGACCTTATAGTTGTCTTGGGTATCTCAGGCAACCCCTTAAAATTGTCTATCTAGTGTTAATTTTTTTCTAATTTTTTTAATTAATACAAATGTCACCCCTAATATTGTGTGTAACTGTTGCTCTTTATTATATGAAAAAATTAATATCATATTTAAAATTTAAAAAAAAAGATCAAGCCCATAAATCAAGCATCTATTTTTAGTTTTGTGGGAATTAGGATACGCCTGAATTTTTGGGCAACCCCTGAATTTTTGTCCTAGGTCCGCCTCTGTTCAACCCACCCTTGAGCCTTTGTTGCGAACTAGAGTAAGTGGTATCTATATGAGTCAATGTTATAATATATTTTCAGGAATTCGTCACGGCGATATAACGAGTTCAGTGAAAAGTAATTTTTTTTAAAATATATTAATTAATTTAAAATTTTTAAAAAAATTAAAACTCATCATGTCGAGGTGATGAGTTTCTTTGAAATTTAAAATAAACTGGACATTTATAGTCATTGGGCAACATACAACATCAACGATCAGAAGCAACAGACATATTGAAACTTGTCACGTCGAGGTGATGAGTTTCATAGGGTTTTGAAAAATATAGTCGTTGACTCGTTTATAGCCGTTGGGTCTGGGGTTTAAGATTTTTATTGTGTATTGTTAAGAAAAAAAAACTTAGAAAATTGTAGTTTTTGAAGTATTACATAAAATGTCTACGCGAGATTAAATGTTACGTCTTGATGATGTTCATATTTCTTCACTCAAACTCACTCTGTAAGAAGAACAAACCATTCTTCAACGAGGAATGACATTTAGTGATTCGCATCAGTAGATTATTATATATTTACAATAATTCAGATTGTATCCAATCACATTTCTTCATGATTTTAAGGTGAACATGACACTGATTTCAACGTGGATTGAACGTTGGAGGCCCGAAATGTATATTTTCTATTTTTCGAGTGGTGAAGCGAGATGTCGCTTACCAACTTAGTGTTTCAGTTAATGGTGTGACACTAATGAGGCTCAACGATTACAATCGATTCTAAATTATTGAGAAAATTTTGGGAAATGTGTCACCACCAGAGGTCTTAAAAGGGTATTGGATACAAATAACTTGGTTGGAGTCTAAATTTCATGTGACTGACGACTCTATCGATGATGAGGTCAGATTTACAGCCCGAGCATATCTCCTCCAATTAATTTGAGGGGTATTATTACTGGATAAATCCGAGAATTTGGCACACACTCACTATCTTCCGGTATTGAATAATTTTACTGAGTGTCATAATACTAGTTGAGGCTCGGCGATTTTGATATTTTTGTATTGTGAACTTTGCAATGCTACAATCGTTAAAAGGGTCAAAAAGTCGATGTAGTGGATTGTCTAGTCTTGCTACAATCTTGGTCGTGATATCGGTTCTCATTTTTTACAACAATTACAACAACCTTGATTTAGTTTCCTCTAGCTGGAAGTTAATTTTTTAACTTTAGTTTTTTAGTAAATTTTTTATTTATTTTATTATTTATTTAGATGACAGCATAAAATTACCGAGACAAAGTTGTCAGGTACAAATAAAAATGATATGCGAATGATGATCAATATCGTCGGTAGACACATGGTAAATATTATTTTAATAAATTACTTAAATTTTTATTTATTTATAATTTAGACTAAGTTTTATAATTTAATTAATATTTACATTTTTGTTGGCTTCTGTATTGCGAATATGAGATTTACCGGTTACTAACACTGGGATTTTTTGAAGGCTCGGATTTGTGGTGTGTCATAACATCTTTACTTCATTTTGCGATTGTTGAGATGCACGTCGCAAATAGAGTGTTGCGTCAGTTTTCATTCCATCAACCAATTCCTATGCAAACTTTTTATATGACCGTGCTCCATAAAATTGATACGCGTTAGAAGTACAAAGAAAATTTTCCGAGGAAGCATGATGTATACATTCAACAATAAAATTAGTGACATTTATCTGTTCTTATACGTTTCGAGATTACAACTGTTGACCTTCATTTCAACATTTCTCTCTACCTCCGAAATTATGAAGTAAATGAGAAATCATATTTAACAACACCAAAAAAGATGACACAATAAATGAAATGAAGGCCAAATACGTGAAGGGCAAGAAATCATCATCATCGGCATTTTCGTCTTCTGCTTTTATTTCTGTAGAATATTTTACATTTCTTACTAGTTATAATTTTTATCCTTCATATCATGCTTCAATGAAGAGTAACCTCCGGGTGAACTTGTTATTTTTATATATAATACTTCCAAATGTTAGAATAATGTGTCGGGATATTTTTCCTTATAAGACTTGTCATAATTCAGGTTTTCATAAATTTTTATGAATGTTTACTGTGCTCATTATTACCGTCAGTAATCATATTATTAGAAGGTGAAAACTTTATTTCACATCTAAATCTGAATTCAACAAAAATTTGTTTCATTTGTATAATTTAAACTGATTCATTGAACTCAATTAAATATGCGAATCGAACTTAATTTAATATAAAATGGTTCATATTCAAATAATATGAACAAATTTTTGCTGAAGTTTATTTAAATAATTAAAACTTATTATAAGTTTTTGTATTATTTTTACAGTTTATTTTAATTTTTTACTATAAGAAAAAATAATTTAGTCCCTACATCGTATCTGAAAGTTATTTTACTCTCTACTATAAAAAGAAATATTTTAGTTCTTGCACGTTTGAAATTTGATCCAAAATACTAAAATTATTGTTAGATACTTAAATATTTAGGGTTAAATACCCCTTTCATACATGAATTATATCAAATTCTCAGTTTCATATATAATGTTTAAAAATTCTCAATTTTATACATGATGTTTTCTGCCATTAACGGATTTACCCACTTCCATCACGAAAGTGACGTGGAGCCCTACGACCACTAATAAAATGACACGTGACACTTTAAAAACATGTTTTTAGGTAAATTACTAATCACTCAACTATTTTCTCACTCTTATTTTAGTCACTAAAGTTTAAAAACAAAAACCAACGCCAAGAAAAAAAACTTGGTTTTCTTTAAAATTGTTGCCCTACCCCTCGTCGTCGTTCAACCTTCTTCTGGCCGATCGTGGCATTCACCACCACCCTGGGAGCTTTGCCATTGTCCCACAAAGTTAACCTGACCATCAGTTACCTCCATCCGGTCGTCGTTCATCTGGAAATTATAAAGAATCGTATGAGTCTCACCATCGTTGATCTCAGCCACCATTGAACGGTGAATGTCACCTCCCTCACCTGTGGAAGTTCCTCCCTCGTCGGATCATAACCCATCAACTCACACGCTGAGTCTCGCCATCATTTGTCGTAGAGAAGAATTAAAAGGTTCGTCAAAAAACTTCTTCTTGTCACTATTTTTTCATAATTTTCCGTAAAACTGACCGACGTTACATCTCACCGCCCCTCCCATTGAGTTCTCCGGTCAGTTTCGATCAAGACCCAACTAGTGGATCATGTCACTGCCGTTA